ATGGAAACAAATCTATAATTAAAATTTAATTTTTTTAAACAGTTAGAATCCTAATTGGAACTAATTCTGCTTCTTTCTTAGATTTTTTTTTATTCAATATAATTCATACTAAATTCAGAAACCATACAGCATTGATTTTATTTTACAGAATAAAATTTGAATTTGATATCACAGAGTCAATTGGTTGAATCAAATTTCCATATTGATAACAGTATGTAAAAAATCTGTTATTGTTTAGAAATATATGAAGTTTTTTACTGCCTAGGTTCTAGGTGATATTTTTAAAGAGAGTACTTCAATATTTTAAACAAAAACATTTCTTAATGACTTTTCGATTGAAGTATTTTTATTTACGAAAAATTTGAGTAAACCTTTTAATGCGAATAGATAAAAGTGAGATTTTTTCTTTGTACTTTTCATGTAAGTCACTCGTGAATTGAGTAAAAGCAAGAGATAAAAAAACATATTGTAGTTAATTACATATGTACATGTACATGTTGCGTGTCTCAAAGTTGCAAAGAAAGTGGTAAAAGGATGGAAGTCACCTTGCATTTAACTGAGCTACGATACATTTGTAGTTTTTTTTTCTTAAATTGTAACTTTTAATCTCAATTATGTTGTAGCAGATGTTATAATGCCGAAAGAAATACATGTTATCCTATTCTACGTAATGTAATGAGAGTAATTTTGAAGCAAATATGTGTACATAAGTAACTATACCAACTTTTTGAACTAACAAAAGAATATCATCTTTTGGGAATGAGAAATTTAAAGACTATGAAATATTTTCTTGAGTAAAACATTGAAAGACGTAATTCATGATTTGTTAATAGAATCTTGTTGTCTTGTTGTCTAAAATAATGAAAGAAAAAATCGGTGTCAATAATGTTAATTTTTAGAGATTTTTTTTTACTATATTTTCTTTTCTAAGAAGCAACATTTAAAATATGGCTGAAATATTGCAGATTCGGCCTTAAAGAATACATTGTAAAAATCAATCAATCAAATTTTCTTACCAAAATGTTTTGAGTTAATGTGTAGAATTTATTCAGATATAAATGGAAACTTTATTTCTTTTTCCTAGTATTTCATAACAGAAAATAATCTTGAAGCAAAAATATTATTTTATTTTATTGTTATTTTTTACAGGAATCATCAACCTTCATTTAGCGTCAAAAGTACATATGTATTCAAAAGATATCGGATATTTTTAAAAAATGAATTTGGAATGCTTATAACAATTAAATTCTTTAAAAATCAGCTTAAAATGCATATAAGTTTGATCAATAACCAGTTCTACTAACCAGTAGACACTCTCCAGTTACCGCGTTACAACTTCTATTTAAACAATTTGCACTGCATGTTTCATTACATTGGTAACCATGGAAACCCCAGGCGCATTCTAAATTGGTAGAGAACACAAAAACCGTGTTAAAATTCATCACCATTTTTAAGGCAAAAGACTGTGAGATTTTTAAATGAAACTTTTTTAATTTTTTTTCTTTTTAATTAAAATTTTGTTTTAAATAATAATTACCGATTGTCTGAATATATTAAGTAAAAGAAATCCCTTTTGATCCCTTAAACAGTTACAATTCGCCTAAAAGAGCATGATCTTACATTAAAAAATACATGAATATACACTTTCAAATACTTTAACTTCAGTTGTAAGGCGTCATTTGATTGTTTAAACGGTTTTTATCCATTTTGTACTGATTGTCTGTTGATGAAAAATGCAGGGTATATATTATTTTTAACTTTTTTTAGAACTGATTCGGTCACCTTGTGTACAGTTGATCTCTTGGTAACCTCTGTCACAGCCATTCAAGCATGTTCCGTTAATGTGATGACACTGTTCTTTATCAAGACATACCCCGCATGACTGAGCACAGTTTAGTCCAAATGTACCACCATCACATTCTATAGAATAGAAATATCTCAAATGCAAAAAAAAAAAACAAGAAATTTCATCTACGTCATTTGTTTATTCAACCTGCTTGTTAATTAATATATGTTCTCTTAATTTTAACAAAGCAATAACTTTTTTTGAATTTAAGTATTACTTGATTTGCTAGCATCTGCTATTTATTCCCTATATATTTACCACTTTGCATACCTTAAAGTGATTTTATATGTTACATCAATTTTTTTTTTTTTTTTTTTAGTTTTTTGTTTTAGTTTTTTTTTTTGGGTTTTTATATTTGACTTTTTCTTGATTTAAACATAATTGGTTATTGATAACTCTAAAGAATATCTATATCTATTTACTCTTATCACATTTTAAATCTGTCCAGCCTGCCTGACATCCACCAAGACATTCTCCTGTCACTCTGTTACATCTACTAGGGACTCCACAATTAATGTCACATGTTTCCTCACAATTGAATCCATAACGTCCCTCAATACATTCTTTATTAGAATAAAACAATGCTTATACAAAGAAACTATGATATATTAAGGAGTCCTGGTGCAAAGATCCCAAACACACGTAATCTTAAAGTATATTTAAAATTATCCAAAAATAATACGACTCACAAAACATTACTTACCCTTAGTACATTTATCTCCTTGGAATCCTCTGTCACATCCTTTGAAACATGTCCCATTAATGTGGTGACATTGTTCTAAATTTAAACATGTTCCACAAGACAGACCACAGTCTTCTCCGTATGTCCGGCTATCACATTCTGCAAAATGAACATGATTTATTTTCAAAAAATTATTCACAAAGTAAATTCTTATTATAAAGCTAATGAAAACCGGTATTAAAGTACCATTGTCACAGAAGGTTCCTTTCCAACCAGGGTTACACCCAAACTTACAGACACCAGTGAATCTGTCACAACCTTTGCAATTAATTCTACAGAACTCAACACAGTTCTTTCCGTGCCTACCCGGAGGACATTCTGTCAAGATGGAAATATCTTTTTGTTAAAATGAAGGTAATCATTCTTTGAGCATTTTAAAAATTATAATACAAACTTTCTGCTTCTTTTTTTTTAAATCTATTTTGTTTGTCTTTAAAAAGTATAAGAACGTTAGTTGTGCTATCTTCAAATGACAAACACTATCAATATGTGATATCATAGAAAATATTCTCATAATAAATTAGCATCTGTCTTTCTAAACATCATTAATTCTATTGTTTTTTTTAACACAAAGATGCTAGCAAATGAGAGAACATGTACTCGAGACATTTTAATGACATTTATTTTTCATTTCATATACATACTCAACGCAACTGCCTTGCAAGAAAAAACTTTTTTTTGTAAATTAGAATGACTTAAGTTTAATCTAAATTGCATTTCTTTAATATTAAAATCAAAGGATGTCTACTCCTGCATGGTTTCACAGGTCTGTGTTTGTTTAAGTTTTAATATGTTTATTTACTTGTTATAATGATATAAATTTTTTTGAAAAGAAAATGTGTCAAACATTATATTTGTGATATTTTTATTTATTTATATTGAGGTTTTTTTAAAAAACAACAAAAACTTTTATTGGAATCAAAATTAATTTAAACGAACCAACGTGGGGTCTATTTATTCCTATCATTGACTCATGTTTTCATCTTATCATTTTAATAATATTTAAGGCAAATCAATTTCTATATGGATATCGTTTGTCGAAATCTCTTTTTTGTAAATATTTATATAATATTTATAGTTTTATTACTTTAACTTACCTTGATCACACTTATCCCCTTCAAAACCAACGTCACATCCGTTCGGACATCTTCCGTTCACATGATTACATTGTTCTGCGTTGCTACAGTTACCACAAGTCATATTGCACTCAGCTCCGTATCTATCATTATCACACTCTGAAGATAATGAAATAAGTTATTTTTGTCTAGTACAGTAATTTCACATTGAAATTTTTAAATATTTTTCATATAATCTTTGTTAATAATTATCCTTTAATTTCATTTCAAATGTGCTGAAATATACAATTAACACTTTGATAAATTACTGAATATATTGTTCAACACTTTCCTTAAACTGTGCGTCTATGGAAAAATTTTACCTTATCTTGCAATCCATCATGAACATATTTGGTGACAGTATTACCTGTTGTACTATTCTAAAAATCACACATGATAGAGTGTTTTGTTAATCAGATACATCTATTTCTGTTAGAAGTTTTTAAAAGGAATCGCATGCAGATTTTTTCTTACTTTTCATCAAAACAAAAGGAGACAAAGAACAATAACAAGATCAGAAGTCCATAAAAAATTATAAAATAGGAGCAGCCCTCAAAAAGATCAGGGATGGGATAAGGTGCTAAGGAGGAGTGGGCATATCCTGCCGACTGTTCACACTAACGGTTGCTCCTTGTCATTATAGGGTAATAGTGGGAAAATGGGTCGTCAAAATCAGTGTAAATTGTTAAATAATAGACTGACGATTAGCGTTTAAACGTCAATTAATCTTAAGATTGATGTCGTAATTGTTGCTTTATCCCGTACTCATTAAGGATATCTGATTCTCAGCCAGGAATGATAACTCCAAAAATTAATATTTAATTTGAATTGCACCAAAATGAAGCTAAAAAAGTTTTTTCATGCAACTATTTTCATTTTATTTACCTCTATAAGACTCAAGATTTTGGGAAGTTGAAAAAAATGTCTTTTAAATGTTGACATTTGTATCCAATAAAAGGAAAAAAAACACACTTTTAGAGAAATAAGATTTTCTTGAATCTATCCTTAGATACCAATGCTTTTTAGCATGATATGCAATAAGAATTGATTTTTGGTATCTTGCAATGATAGCAAAATCATTTTACACTATGTATTATAGAAAACATGACGGAAATAGAAGGCAAAAAATACCAGATAAGTATAAAATTCATGACAATTTCTCTAAATGTCTGGATACCTGTCGTTTTTAACTTAAAATATATTTGTTGATCAGTTTGCAATTAGAAAATGCATTGCTGTGATTCCGAATCACCTTTTCTGCAAAAATATAGTAGATTTCACAATTTTTCTTATATAATATGATTAATTTTTATCTTAAGCTTTAAAGAAATACTGTGGATAAATTTACATTACTTTGTGGATTCAAAGATACTTTTATGAGTATTTTGGACTAATAAACTACTAATTTTATAAACCTGAGGATCGGACTACCTTAAGTATAATAATGACATGATTCACCTTTAATTTGTACTGTTAATTAACAAAACGAAGATATATCGATAATTTTAAATACCATACCTCCTGACATCGGCCTTGACTTTCCCCCGTCTCTCTGTTACATATACCAAGGACTCCACAGTTAATGCTACAACTGCCTTCACAGTTGTGGCCAAAGTGTCCTACAGGACATTTTAGGAAGTTTGTTATTGAGTGAGTCATATAGCATAATGCAAGTAATGGTTAAGTGTTAATGAAAGATAACTTAGGGTTATTGAACTTTTATTGGCTCAGTTGGCTGTTCAGTGGACTTTAATCTAATAACTAATATTTGCCCCCAAAAAATCGAATCTTGACAGAGTAATATTAAATTATGTTCCAAAACGGGGGGAAACAATTATTTCAAACAATATTTAAATTTAAAGTATGTGTTTAAAATGACGTCGCATAAGTAGAATTACAATATTCATAATTTCCTCGAAAATTGAAAATTTTGCGTCAGTTTTTTAAAAAAAATGGGGAAAATTTTCATGGGTTAAATGTTTTGATATAATGTGTGGAATAATAATATCAACTAGAACAAACTGTTGCAGGGAACGTGTAGGTCTTCCGTCCTGTTTTGACCGGAAGTGACATCAACAAAAGAAAGCAATAAGCTAAGTCGTCTCCAGTGACGTTATAATTTCAATTTTGGTCAAAAACTATAAAAATAAGCATTTTAGTTTATTTTAGCCAGTTTGAACTGAATTGATGTCTACGGACGGAAAATTAAGTTTTATCCTTCCAGTGACAATTTTACCAAAAAACATGTCAAGAGCGGCAAAAATATGCATTTTTGACGACTTCCAGATTTACCGGAAATGACGTCACCGGAGGCATTTTTACGACTTTCAAAATTGATTGACATTTTGAACATCTTTGCTTCTTTTCTATTATAAATTTAAATTTTATTGAAATGTTCCGGAAAAACTTTCGGCCCCTCTCGGTCCTTATTTATAGGGGGAGCCCCTTATTTTGATATTGTTTGCAAATCGTTACATTTTTACAACTTTTGTTTTTATGTTTTTCAAAATATTAAGTGCTGCTATCCCACAAGTTAATGGGATGGGGTTGGATAGGATTCAGGATTGAGGGTTACGTGAAACATATAGAAGTTAATCCAATCCTATCCTATCTTATCCTATCCTGTTTCCTTTTAGAATCGATTCGAGCAAAGGTTCATTCATATTTCAGAATAAATTACAAAAACGAAATTCAATATAAAATGTTTACAAAAAAATATTTATAAAATTTCAATAGAAAATAAAACATTCTCTTTTCTAAAAAAAAATTTACATTATAAACTTCAGTAATACGGGTAATTTAACCGTGAACGAGCACCGGAAGAATTTGGGAATGTAAACAACGAAGAGTCCAGGCATCGAAAGACCTTATTTCTTCAGCTTGTTTGGATGATTTAACCGATTTTTACTTGTGTAAAAGTGAAATAAATGTTTTTTTCTGTTAAATATGCTCTGTTTGATTGGATAATTCCACAAAGTAACCGCGGATTTGTTAATATGGCGAGAACATGTAAGTAAACTACACATTGTACATTTTAATGTGTGCATTTTTACACATATTTCGCCCTTTAAACAATGTTCTAATGACTTGAATTATAAACATTTTATTCTTTTTTATATAAACAAAATAAGGTGGGAAAAATAAAAGAAGTAGTGAAGATAGAAGGGGGGTTAAATATTTACAAATACTCTGTCACATGATTAATCAGCTATCAATGAGCTCTTAGACTAAAACAATCATATGTATTATGCATTAATCAATTGTTATATTATCATTTCCCTAGTAAGGTTAGAAAATAGTTTCCTTCATTTCAGTGCAATTTATTTTTTTTTTTTTATATTTATTGTCAAAAACATATAAATACTAAAGTCTTCAAAAATGAAAAATCTATTTCATGAAATTTTATGATAAATGAATGTAGAATCATCATGACTATTTTAATGCTACTGTTTAAATGTTTAATAAGCTCTAAAGCTCACTCAGCAGTCAGCACTGCACTTACATTGTATGTACATTTGAAATGATGTATTGTGAGCTATAAAACATAAGTTAATCTTTTAATATTATTAATACAGAGAATGGATTTACCTGCACTCTGTCATCACAGTATAAAGGATTTTAATCTAAAAAGTATGTATGATTTGTTTTTTTACCATGTTTTTATGCATCATGGTCATTGAAATCATAAACATCATTATCTGATTGAGTTACGTGTCAATAGATTCTCAGAACAAGTGATTCTCTTCTTTTAAAAATCTTCAGAGAAATTTAAAACTGAAAACAATGTTGAATTGTTCCGGTCATCATGTTGTTGTTATATATATTTTTTTTTTCCTATTCAAATTTCAAGACAAAAAAAGAAAACAAAAAAAAACATTAATTAAAAAATGAATACAAGCAGAAAATAGAGAAAAATCACCCAAACCAATGTATTCATATACTTGTTAGCAAGTCGACAAGATAAAATGAATGATAATGTACTTGTAACTGAATTATTTTAAATAAAATTTCCAAAAAAAAAAAAAAAGAAATGACTGAGGTTGCAGTATAAGATTTTATTTTTATATTTTTTAGTGATTACATGTACTTTTGGGAGAGAAAAAGGTGAAATTAAAGCCAATTGTACATAAAAAATAAAAATAATCACAATTAAAAACTGTTTAAATGTGTAATATGACAAATTTTACAATTTACATGCCTAGAATTTTTTTTTTTCTTTCAGGACAACCCTGCATGTAAAGATTGCATTTCATCTCATATGCTGTTAGACAATAATGAAAGATGTTAAAACCCAGTGTAAAAGACTCTGAAATCATGGGGCTTTTTTTAAAAGAGATCAGTGCTTTTTTGTGCATTGTTAACATTTGTGGAACTGTTTGGTTTATGGTCCATCTCTCTGACAATAACTCTGATATTTGAAATTATGTTTGAGTGACGGACAAGGAAGCCAAATCATATGCATGTAAAACATTATACAACTGTAATAAAAACATTGATAAACTTAAATTTAACAAAGTACATGTACAAGTATCTGTGATCTTGGCATTGAAATTCATAAATTTTGTACATGGATACTTTAAATAATTTGTCTCATGGTAATGGAATATTCAATTGTTAAACACTGTTAAATCACCCTGAATAAAAATATTGTGAACTTGATAAAGTATGTTTACCTCATTTAAACACTGAAAAATTTAAGATCAAATGTAAGGTCAAATACAAGGTTTACTCAAGAAAGTGTTATAAATGCTGTAAATACTGTGAATTCTTATTCATGTTTTATAAGATCAAAAGAACATGTATGAGCTCAGCATTTTTATCAAAGTTATTGCTGTCAATCTGAGTCCGACAATGCAATTAAGGAAATATTTTCTATTAAACATGAATTATTTAATTTTCACACATAAAAAAAAATTGGAAGTTTAAATACATTTGTACGGCACTAAACTGACCATAAAATGAGAAGAAAATGATGTTAAATAAGAAATTTTAACATTTCAAAATCTTGAATTTTATTTAGCAGCTATATATTTTCAATATTCACACAAGAGTTAATGTATACTTTCATATGTGGGTTGATGTTTTAAGTTAAGAGGGCTGTGAGAATAAATTATGAATTTAAATTAACCAAAAAAAAATATATTTAATATTTTATATAAGAAAATTTCACATTTAAAATGTTTAATATGTGAAAGCCAAGATATTTAATAAATTTTGACTTGTTGTTTGGGTTTTTGGTTAATTTTTTTCTTTTTTAGAACAGCATACAGAAAAAAACGTTATACAGGCACATTTAGACTATACATGTACATGCATGTTATTTTTATGGTGCTCGGTTTAGGAAAAAATTAAATTTTACATGAATTATAACTTTAAAAATTATTACCGTGTAGGCCTTGTTTTTAAAAATAATCAAATATAACATGCAAGGAGCAAGTCGTGATACTAGCTGTGGTAATTCTCCCATTTTTTGTTAGGAAAATCAAAACAAAGTCTAATCATATTTTTTTCTTTGATTCTTCGCAGGGGAAATAAGGAAGCATACAAAATAGTCATAGGCTAAATAGGCTGTTTGACGTCATAGTAGGGAAAATACGTCAATTTTAGAAATCAGGTTTTCGTAATATTGGTACTTAGCTATGTAATTTTACCCAGAAAATGATTAAAATGTAAAATTAACAAAAATAAAATGTTTTTATTTTGTTATGCTGTAACAGTCATTATGATTGAAATCTACCACCGATGACGTCATATGTGTACTTCAAGTAACATGGGAATTGACCATGTCGTGTAAAGAGAATTTGGCTAAGACGGCATGTTCAAAGATATGTAAAATGGAGTTTAGAAGGAAATATCGGAAATATTGTGTTAAATTCATATGGAGTTCAATTAATTAAACAGGTATGCTAATTTATTTTCATCGATTATATTCTCTTTCGAAGACAGTCAGCTTTATTAGATCCAGGTGGCCTATCGTCCGTCATTCTTGTAAAAAAAGCAACAGAACAACAATAAGCTGGATATTTTAAAACATACGAATTGTACATATTGAAAGTTTACATTTTGACAAACTTGGAAAGTGCTGCTAAATCCCCAGTTAAGCATGGTTGTACAAAAATCTCACAATGTATAAAATTCAAAACAAAGGGTAAGGTTTCGTACAATGTGTGGAATAAAAATTTTACGGACAAATAGTGGGATTCTAGCAGCACTTTTTAGACAAAATAGATGTTTTTCAGCTATATAACATACTAAAGAAATTATCAAAATGGTATTTGTTCTGTTAGCCTTTTTATTAAGGAAAATATTGCTATTAATAGAAGTCACGTGATACCGTGGCGGTGATGCACGTTTTGCGTTAGACACGCTTTTGTCTGTATGCAAAAGTAAATGACAGTTTACGTTTATCAGTGGCTTTGGTAATTTATTAAACTAAATTTTCTTCAAAAATCTAAATTTCCCGAGAAATTACTTAATGCTTTCCAAAACCCCCCCTTTTCTCGGAGTCCAATTTTCTTTACATATGTTCGCAAAATCAGTACTTGTGTGTTTTATTACAGTCTGTTTTTTTACATTTATTTTTGACATTGTAACTAATGATAATCGAAATTTAATTTGTGCGATGTGTTAGGTTTTATGGAATGCCGATCTCATTATTTTTCTCCATTAAAATATATAACATTTAAATGAATACCATAACTTTTACTGATTTTTATTTGGTGGTCATTCCGTTTTTTTTTTTTGTTTTGTCAAATTAATTCCTAAATATCAAAAAACTGAGAGTTGCAGGATAGGATAAGATAGGATTAGACTGAAATCACAGGATAGGATTGTGGATGCAGTATTCACGATAGGATAGGATAGAATTGTCAACTTATAGGATAGCAGCACTGTAACATATAAAGAGATATTGCAAAAAAGTGTGAAAATTTTCTAAATCTCCGAAAGGACTTTTTTCGAACAATAGCGAGCGCGGACTGCTGCATTTCCGGAGAAAAAGAAAGGTGTGTGACACATGACCACATGTTGCTCTGTCATCGCTGATAATCTGAAGTTTCTGTCTGAAAGTATTTTAGAGAAAAATGCTGGACACTAAGACCCCTGAAAATCACTTAATCGCGGAAATTTCCGAACTGGAAGTGACATTATCAAAACAAAAAAATTTATGTAAAGTTTGTTTGATGTTCTATCAGTCCTGAAAGTTTTATAAAATCGAGCGAGCAGTATCCGAAATATCGTCTGCAAAAAATCCGTAACAAAAAAAAAAAAAAACAACTATAATAATAACTAAAGCAAAGCTCGTTGCAAAGCAACGAGTAGGTCTTCCATCCTGCTTGACCGGAAGTAACTTTCATTTAAAAAAAAAAAAGACTAATAACGCCCAACAACGGTTTAAATCCTTTAAGTCTATGTTAATTGATGCAAAAATGAACCAGTTTTTGCTAATTCCTGTTTGACCGGAAGCGGCAACTACATACGGAAATCAAGTTTTATGCTTCCAGTGACAGATGCTACCCAAAACTTTTCAAGAATGGCCAAAATACGAATTTTCTGAGTACTTCAGGTTTGACCAGAAGTGACGTCACCGGACGTTCTTTGACGACCCCAAAAGATTAAGCTTGACATTTTGATCAACATTGCGTTTTTAATGTCTTACAAATTCTTAATACCCTCTATTTCCCTAATTTTACAGGCCAGTTCTTTTTTCCGAGATATCATTTGAAAGATCGTTTAATTGACATTTTTTGTTCTATATGTTTTTACAAAATATTTCGAGGAATGAAGTTATCGTAGAAAAGATGTTAGAAATTCTGAAATTCGCGATAGGACTAATTTCGGGCCACAACGGCGCTTTATACTTCCAGTGGTTGTGATATACCATATACACTTCATCACTGAAAATTTCACACTTCTATCTTCAATGGTTTTTGAGAGCATTGCCGGGCAACGTGACCCTCTAAAAATTACAAAATTGTGGAAATCTTCGAACAGAAAGAAGTGACGTCATCAAAATTAAAGATATATATCTAGATTTTTTATGTTCTATCAGACCTAAAGTTTTTTGAAAATCCATCAAGCCGTTTCCGAGAACTCGTGTGCACAAAATTTGTAAAAAAAAAAATAATAATAATAAAAACTGTGGAAAAGAAACCTAAGAAAAACAGCAAGGTCTTCCGCTGAAGACGGAAGACATTAAAAATAGTGGAAAAGAAACTTAAGAATAACAAGAAGGTCCTCCGCTAAAGACGGCAGACCTTAATTAAACGTGCAAATATTGTTCCTGAGCAGACCTCTGCTTTATAAATTCTAAAGCTAAAATTGTTTTTGTCTTTTCTGTCCTTTCCCAAAAAAAATAATAATAATGAAAAATTCGACTAGTTTGTGACATCATAAAAAACATAAATAGCCAGGAACCTTCTGTGAAACTATAGTATGTTTTGTAACCTTATATTTTTCAAACAATTTATACAAACCAACACATTTTAAGAATTGATCAAAATACCGAATAACACAAACTAGGAAAAATTTTCAATTCTTCCATATTTAAATTAACATCTGCTTGCAAGTGTTCAATATCGCATCATTTCAATGACCCTACTTAGCGTTACAATCTGCCTAATGAGGCTAATATATATTGAATTATGAATTAACAATTCAAATTGTGCTTAAAAATAAACACTTATAACCTAGAAGCAACTCTTTATCATAAACCTACCTCCGAGATGTTGACCCAACGACATTTCTTGTTTACAATGGGTCCTGGAGCAAAGATCCTAAACACACGTAATCTGATAGTACATTTTCATTTTCAAAAAAAAAAAAAAAAAAACGACTCACAAAACATTATTTACCCTTAGTACATTTATCTCCTTGGAATCCTCTGTCACATCCTTTGAAACATGTCCCATTAATGTGGTGACATTGTTCTAAATTTACACAAGTTCCACAAGACAGACCACAATCTTCTCCGTATGTCCGGCTATCACATTCTGCAAAATGAACATGATTTTTTTTTTTCGAAAAATGATTCACAAAGTAAATTCTTCTTATAAAGCTAATGAAAACCGGAATTAAAGTACCATTCTCACAGAAGGTTCCCTTCCAACCAGGATTACACCCAAACTCACAGACACCAGTGAATCTGTTACACCCTTTGCAATTCATTCTACAGAACTCAGCACAATTCTTTCCGTGCCTGCCCGGAGGACATTCTGTCAAGATAGAAATATCTTTTTGTTAAAATGAAGCTAATCATTCCTTGTGCATTTTAAAAATTATAATACAAACTTTCTGTTTCTTCTTTTTAAAATCTATTTTGATAAGAACTTTAGTTGTGCTATCTTCAAATGATATGGACTATCAATATGTGATATCACAAAAAATATTGTCATAATAAATCAAAATATGTCTTTCTATACATAATTAATTCTATTGTTTTTTTTTTAACACAAAGATACTAGCAAATGGGAGTACATGTACTCAAGACATTTTAAAGACAATTATTTTTCATTTCATATACATACTCAACGCAACTGCCTTGCAAGAAATAACATTTTTTTGTAAATTAGAATGACTTAAGTTTAATCTAATTAATGCATTTCTTTAATATCAAAATCAAAGGATGTCTACTCCTGCATGGTTTCACAGGTCTGTGTTTGTTTAACTTTTAATATATATATTTGATTGTTTTAATGATATGACTTTTTTTGAAGAGGAAATGTATCAAACATTATATTTGTGATTTTTTTTTATTTATTTATATTGAGATTTTTAAAAATACAACAAAAACTCTTATTGGAATCAAAATTAATTAAAAACGAACTAACGTGGTGTCTATATATTCCTATCATTGATTCATGTTTTTATCTTCTCTTTTTAAATAATCTTTAAGGCGAATCAATTTTCTATATTGATAACCTTTGTCGAAATCCCTTATTTGTAAATATTTATATAATATTTGTAGTTTTATTACTTTAACTGACCTTGATCACACTTATCCCCTTTAACACCAAAGTCACATCCCTTGGGACAACTTCCGTTCACATGATTACATTGTTCTGCGTTGCTACAGTTACCACAAGTCATATTGCACTCAGGTCCGTATCTATCATTATCACACTCTGAAGATAATGAAATAAGTTATTTTTGTCTAGTACAGTAATTAAACATTGAAATTTTTAAATATTGATATTCCAAATCACTTTTTTTGCAAAAATGTTCGAGATTTCACAATTTTTCCTATATATATAATATGATTAATTTTTATCTTAAGCTTAAAAGAAATACCGTGGATAAATTTACATAACTTTGTGAATTCAGAGATACCTTTATGAGTATTTTGGACTACTGAACTATTAATTTATAAACCTGAGGATCTGACTACCTTAAGTATAATAATGACATGATTCACCTTCTAATTTGTACTGTTAATTAACAAAACGAAGATATATTGATAATTTTAAATACCATCCCTACTGACATCGGCCTTGACATTCCCCTGTCTCTCTGTTACATCTACCAGGGACTCTACAGTTAATGCTAAAACTGTCTTCACAGTTGTAGCCATAGCGTCCTACAGGACATTCTAGGAAGTTTGTCTAATTTGTGAGTCATATAGCATGATCGCAGCACAGTTAAGGTGCGCAATGGAAATATCAACTAAATTTTGTATTTAAAATGTACTAGTAATCGGGATGGCGATTATTTTTAGTACATTATTTATATCAGATAATTGTAATTATGATTAATAACTACATATCGAGGACGATTATATTTTATATTTAGACTAGTCACGTGATGCGGCAGTCACGCGATTTTAGCACATTGACTTGAAGTATTGATGTTACATATAAATGTCACGAGTGCAAGGGCATAACCAAGATAAATTTCCAAGTTTAGTATATAAATATTTTCAACAAGCATTGTAGTGTCTAAAAAGTGCTGCGATCCTGTCTAACTTCTGCAATTTCATTGTTAAAACTATACTTGTATGACCGAATTCTATATTTTTTGCTGGTCAGCGGCATGAAATATTGAAATAATTAAATTGTTTTTAAGATTTCATTAGGATTGCAGCACTTTTCAGATACCTGAATAGCTCTATAGTTGAAATATAAAAGCTTACTTTGATCCATAGAGGGTATGCCCTTACACTAGATCGATTTATTTAGACCCCCCACATTACCCTCCGATGTACTTGCATACAAATATACGACAGTGTCAATTAAATACGCAATGTACATAAAATATATTAATAAAATAGTGAAGAAGACATTAAATTCAAGTTATTTTCCCATAGAATATCTGTAAATAATATTTTATTAAATTAGAGAATGCATATTTTGTTGAGAAAATATTACTTGATCTGTCTCTCACTGCATACAAACTGCGTCACGTTGTAAGAAATGACGTCATATTGACAAGGGTATTGCGATCAGTGACTTGTTTATAACTTGTTATGTGGGATTTAAACGACAAAACAACACGCTGTAGTAAGTTTTTATGTAGTTTGATGATTTCTTACTGTTTAAATTAGCAGATAAACTCATTTTGTGTTACTTTAAAGAAATGCTGTATGACGTATATTGTGTATGATGTTATAGTCAAGTTTTCCCGTACAAATTAGGCTCCGCCTCCTTTTTGTAACATTAACTGTGCTGCGATGCAAATAATAGTTAAATATTAATGAAAGGTTATTTAACTTATTTTGGCTCGAGTTGGCTGTTCAGTGGACTTTAATGGGTAATAACCAATATTTGCCCAAAAAATCAAATTTTGACAAAGTAATATTAAATTATGTTCCAAAACAGGGGAAAAATATATTTACTTCAAAGCAATGAATATTTTCACTTGCAACGACGTCATGTGTTTAAAATGAACGTCAGCGATTTAACTTAGAATTAAAATTTTCATAATTTTTACAGATAATTGTAAATATTGCGTCTATTTTTTTAAAGTAAAAATCACTGAGCGAAATCTGCTTGGGCTTAATGTTTTGATGTAATGTGTAGAATAACAATATCAACTACAACAAAGCTCGTTGCAAAGCAACGTGTAGGTCTTCCGTCCTGTTTTGACGCGAAATGATATCAACAAAAGAAAGCAATAAGCTAAGTCTTCTCGAGTTACGTTATAATTTCAATTTTGCGTCAAAAACTAAAAAAATTAGCTATTTTTATCTACTTCCGGTTTGAACGGAATTGATGTCTACGGACGGAAAATGAAGTTTTATGCTTCCAGTGGCATGTGTTTCCAAAAAACCTGTCAAGAGCGGCAAAAATATGCATAATCTGATCACTTCCAGTTTTACCGGAAGTGACGTCACTGGACGCATTTTTACGACTTTCGAAGATGAGCTTGACATTTTGAACAACTCTGCTTCTTTGACGTATTACAAATTCTCAATATTTTATTGAAATAATCAAGAAAAACTTTCGGCCCCTTTCCCTCGGCCCTTATTTATAAGGGTAAGCCCCTAATCGTTGCTTTTGTTTGAAAGATCGTGACATTTTCTACAACATTTGTTCTATATGTCTTTAAAAAATATTAACATATAAAGAGATATTGCAGAAAAGGTGTGAAAATTTTCTAAATCTCCGATAGGATTTTTTTCGAGCCATAGCGGGGGGGGGGGACGTGCTGCACTTCTGCAGAAAAAGAAAGATGTGTGTCACATGAGCACATGTTGCTCTATCATCTGTCTAAAAGCATTTTTGAAAAAAAAATGCGGGCAACAAGACCCCCTGTAAATCACGCAATCGCGAGAATCTTCGAACTGATAGTGACATCATCAAAACGAAAAGTTTGTTTAATGTTCTATCAGTCCTGAAAGTTTCATAAAAATCGAGCAAGCTGTTTCCGAGATATCGTGTGCACAACATCCGTAAGAAAAAAAACAACAATAATAACTAAAGCAAAGCTCATTGAAAAGCAGCGAGGAGGTCTTCCATCCTGTTTGACCGTAAATAACTTTCATTTTCACAAAAAAGACTAATAACGTCCAAAAATGGTTTAAATCCTTTAAATCTATGTTAATTAATGCAAAAATGAACCTGTTATTGCTACTTCCTGTTTGACCGGAAGTGGCATGACGACATACAGATATCAAGTTTTATACTTCCAGTGACATATGCTACCAAAAACTTTTCAAGAACGGCAAAAATACGAATTTTCTGAATACTTCAGGTTTGTCCGGAAGTGACGTCACCGGACGTTCTTTGACGACCCAGATTGATTAAGCATGACATTTTGATCAACTTTGGGTCTTTAATGTCTTACAAATTCTTAATACTTTTAAAGATATCAGGAAAAAAAATTCTAGATCCCTGAATTTAAGGGCCAGCTCTTTTTTTTCGAGATATCATTTGAACGATCGTTTAATTCGACATTTTTTTGTTCTATATGTTTTTACAAAATATTTCGAGGAATGAAGTTATCGTAGAAAAGGTGTTAGAAATTCTGAAATTCGCGATAGGACTAATTTCAGGCCACAACAAGCGTCGGCGCTTTGTACTTCCAGTGGTTGTGATATACCATATACACTTTTACAACGGTTGCTCTAGCATCACTGAAAATTTCATGCTTCTATCTTCAATGGTTTTTGAGGAGATTGCCGGACAAGGTGACCCTCTAAAATTGACAAAATTTTGGAAATCTCCGAACAAAAAGAAGTGACGTCATCAAAATTAAAGATATATATATCTAGATTTTTGATGTTCTATCAGACCTGAAAGTTTCATGAAAATCCATCAAGCCGTTTCCGAGAACTCGTTTGCACAAAATATGTAAGAAAAAAAAAATAATAAAAACTGTGGAAGAGAAACCTAAGAATAACAGTAAGGTCTTCCGCTGAAGACGTAAGACATTAAAAATATTGGAAAAGAAACCTAAAAATAACAAGAAGGTCTTCCGCTGAAGACGAAAGACCTTAATGAAACATGCAAATATTTTTCCTGAGCAGACCTCCGCCCTATAACCTCTAAAGCTAAAATTGTTGGAATTTTGTCCATTCTGTCCTTTTCCAAAAAAAAAAAATGCAGAATTCGACTAGTTTGTGACATCATAAAAACATAAATTGCCAGGAACCTACTGTGAAACTATAGTATGTTTTGTTAATTTATATTTTACAAAAAATTTATACAAACCAACACATTTTAAGAATTGTTCAAAATACCGAATAACACAAATTAGGAAGAAATTTCAGTTTCCTTATTTAAATTAACATCTGTCTGCAAGTGTTCAATATTGCATCATTTCAATGACCCTACCTAGCGTTACAATCTGCCTATTGAGGCTAATATATATTGAATTATGAATTAACAATTCAAATTGTGCTTGGAAATAAACTCTTATGACTTAGAAGACACTCTTTATCATAAATCTACCTTCCAGATGTTGACAAACGACATTTCTTGTTTACAATGGGTCCTGGTGCAAAGATCCTAAACATACGTAATCTAATAGTATATTTAACATTATTCAAAAAAAAAAATAAACGACTCACAAAACATTATTTACCCTTAGTACATTTATCTCCTTGGAATCCTCTGTCACATCCTTTGAAACATGTCCCATTAATGTGGTGACATTGTTCTAAATTTAAACAAGTTCCACAAGACAGACCACAGTCTTCTCCGTATGTCCGGCTATCACATTCTGCAAAATGAACATGATTTATTTTCAAAAAATGATTCACAAAGTAAATTCTTTTTATAAAGAAAATGGAAACCGGAATTAAAGTACCATTCTCACAGAAGGTTCCCTTCCAACCAGGATTACACCCAAACTCACAGACACCAGTGAATCTGTTACACCCTTTGCAATTCATTCTACAGAACTCAACGCAATTCCTTCCGTGCCTACCCGGAGGACATTCTGTCAAGATGGAAATATCTCTTTGTTAAAAGGAAGGTAATCATTCTTTGAGCATTTTAAAATTTATAATACAAACTTTCTGTTTCTTCTTTTTTTAAATCTATTTTGTTTGTCTTTAAAAAGGATAAGAACTTTAGTTGTGTTATCTTCAAATGATATGCGCTACATGTGATATCATAGAAAACATATATTCTCATAATAAATCAAAATCTGTCTATACATTATTAATTCTATTGTTTTTTAAACACAAAGATACTAGCAAATGGGGTAATGACTCAAACATTTAAAGACATTTATCTTTCATTTCATATACAACCAACCAACTCCCTTTTAAAAAAAACTTTTTTTTTAAAATTAGAATGACTTAATTTAATCTAAATTGCATTTCTTTAATATTAAAATCAAAGGATGTCTACCTTGCAGGTTTCACAGGTCTGTGTTTTTTTAAATTTTAAATGTAGTTTTAATAGTTTTTCATTATACAATTTTGTTTAAAAAAAAATGTGTAAACATTATATTTGTGATATTTTTATTTATTTATATTGAGTTTTTTAAAAAAAAACAAAAAAACATTTGTTGGAATCAAAATTAATGTGAAACAAACCAACGTTTTGTCTCTAGAGTCTTCTTAGTTGACTCATGCATTTATCTTTTCATAAAATATTCTTGAATGAGAATCAAATTTTAAGTTGATAGCGAAATCCCCTTTTTTTGAAATTTATATAAATTTTTTTGTTTTATTTTTTTAACTACCTTGACACACTTATCCCCTTGAAAACCAACGTCACATCCGTTGGGGAACTTCCGTTACATGATTACATTGTTCTGCGTTGCTACAGTTACCACAAGTCATATTGCACTCAGTTCCGTATCTATCATTGTCACACTCTGAAGATAATGAAATAACTTATTTTTGTCTAGTACAGAATTTTCATTAAAATTTTTAAATAATATTCATAAAATCTTTGTCAAAATTTCCTTTAATTTCATTTAAAATTGCTAAAATATACATGTACAATTAACACTTTGATAAATTACTAAATATATATATTTCAACATTTCCATAAACTCTGTGTCCATGGTGAAAATTTTCCACTATGTTGCAATCCATCATGATCATATTAGGTGATCACACGGAAAATATAACCTCTTGTATTTTTAAAAATCAGCGCATGATAGAGTGTTTTGTATAATAGAAAACATTCATTTCTGTTAGAAGCTTTTAAAAGGGATCCCATATTTTTTTTTTTTTACTTTTACAGAGAGGGGATCAGGTGCAAAGGAGGAATGGACATCTCCTGCCGACTGGTCACACCAACGGTTGCTCCTTGTCATTTAAGTAATGGGGGAAAATACGTCGTCAAAATCAGTGTAAAGTATTAAATAAAACCCAACAATTAGCGTTAAAACTCAATTTATCTTACGTTTGATGTCGTAATTGTTGCTTTATCCCGTACTCATTAAATATAATAATGAATTTTCACCTTCTTAACTGTACTGTCAATTAACAAAACGAAGAATATTATAATTTTAAATGTCTAATTTTGTCACAATTCTCATTTTCCATCCCCCATACCACCTTTTACATTTCCCTGCTTTTTACATCTACCAGGGGCTCCACAGTAAATGCTAAAACCCGTCTTCACAGTTATAGACATAGCGTCCTACAGGACATTCTAGGAAATAAAAGTCTGTCTAATGTGTGGTCATATAGCATGATGCAAGTTATAATGAAATTTTAATGAAAGATAATTTAGGGTTATTAACTTATATTGGCACGACCAATATTTCCCCAAAAAAACACAATTTGACGAAGTATTCTTAAATTTTGTTCTAAAACAGGGGGGAAACATGCTGACTTCAAAGCACTGAATATTTTTATTAGCAATGACGTCATGTGCTTAAAAATGACATCAGGGAATTAACGTAAATTTGAAATTTTCATAATTTCTACAGAAATTTGTAAATATTGCGTCGACTTTTAAAGTAAAATTACTGAGCGCAAATCTCCTGGCAAACTTTGAATTAAGTTGAATAATAATATCAATTAAAAATGCAAATATTGTTCCTGAGCAGACCTGCGCTCTATAAATTCAAAAGCTTAACTTGTTGGAATTTTGTCCATTTCCCCTTTTTCCCAAAAAAAAAAAAATGAAAATCTAAAAGTTGTGACATCATAAAACCAAAAATTGCCACTAACCTACTTTAAACTATAATATGTTTTGTTAATTTATATTTCTTATAAATTTATACAAATCAAAAAAATTTTTAAAGTAAAAAGCCCAGTGGGGACCCGGGTGACGTCCCATCCCCCTTGTTGGGAAAAGGCGTCTAAATGGACTGTCTTTTGGATGAGCCGAAAAAACCCGAGGCCCCGTGTCACAGCAGGTGTGGCACAATAAAGATCCCTCCCGCAAAAAGGGCCCGTAAGTGCCAGCATAGGTAATTTGGCCCTTTACCGGCAATGGTGACAGTTCCATATCAGTGAAATATTCTGCAGAGGGACGTTAAACAGCATACAATCAATCAATCAATCAAATCCCAAAAAAACAAAATTCAGAAGAATTTTCAGTTTTGGTATTTAAATTAACATTTGCCTGCAAGTTTTAAATATCGATCACTTCAATGACACTACCTACCGTTACAATCTGCTAATTGAGGTATTATTGAGGTTTAATTTTTGAATTATGAATTAACAATGCAAATTGTGCATAAATTAAACACTTCTAACCTAGAAGCCATTCTTTATCATAAGTCTGCCTCCGTTATGTGAACCAGACGACATTTCTTGTTTACAACGGGGCGTTCGAAATTGATCGCTGTATTCGGAATGTTTCGGGCATACTTATATACATAGGCTACAAAGTTATTGTTGACAAAACAATCGTGTAGAATCGTTCGTGTATCGTACGTGATCGTTTGTGTAACGTGCAGCCGGGGTGCATCAAACTCAATCGTTTGCGGTTTAATTGTGCGTGATTGTGCGTTTAGAAACGTGTAAATTTCGTTTTGTAAGTTTTTATCGGAACGTTATTTGTTAAAGAAGCATTTCGTTTGTATTTTATTTTTTATATCCAAATAAAATGAATAAAGCGCAATTTACAATAATTGAAGGTAGAACGAACTAATTATTGCTTGTAAACTATCAATATAGTAAGTCGTACAATATTTGGATCTCGTCAAATAGCGTGACTTATTGTGATAAACCGTACTTGGATGTTGAACTTTTTTCTGGTGATCATTCTTGTTCACTGCTCACTGTGGTAAAAATGCTTTAATTTTCGAAAATCAAAAATAAATATTTTTACAAATAAATATTAAACATTTTTGAAACCTTACATAAATGTATAGTCGGCAAATGTACATGCACACGACATGATTTTCAGGGTTTTGTTTATCAGTTTTTTATCTCTAGGGCTAACTTTTAATTCATTTTTCCAAAAAAAAAAATGTTGATAATTGGCAAGTTCATTATTAGAGATTCATAAGCATATTGTATCAATGGAAAATATGGATATAACTTGTAATTTAAGTCATTCCATGCTGCCATTTTTTTTTCCAATCGTATTCACCTTTCTGCATATTGTGAAATCCAATTCAATCTTATTTTTTTACGGTTCCCAAACTTATATCTTCTGATAGAAGAAAAAGAATCAGTTTTCTAAAGTCGGACGATTACTTAAATAATTATTTAAAATCTAAAATAATAAATAAACCTAACATGTATATTTAGTTCCAGAAATATCCATTTTCGTTTTTTTAATCAAAGTCAATAAAATAATATAATTTAAAATTCGTTGAAATCTAAAATCATTATTAAGCCATACGTATTTCGTTTTGAAAATAACGATTCCTAAATATTTTGAACTGCACTTCATAGAAAAGAACTTAGCGCAGGAAGATGAGATTTTCAGTGATGATAGAGCAAGGAATGTAAATTTGTACCGGGAAATTCATTTTACCAAGTATTGCACGTTTCGGCGCTCGTTATGGCCAAAAAAAGTCATAACGCATTTTCAAAGGTTTCTAACACCTTTTCTACAAAATCATTATACATTTACCTGGAAATATTTTGTTATTACATGTAGAACAAAAGATGTGTAGAAATTCATAATCTTTCAAATGATATCTCTAAAGAGGCTGCGCAGTACAGTTAAGGTGCGCAATGGAAATATCGGCTCAATTTTGTATGTATAAAATGTATTCGTAATCGGGATGGCAATTATTTTTAGTACATTATTTAAATCGAATAATTGTTATTATGATTAATAACTACATATCGAGGACAATTATATTTTATATAAAGACTAGTCACGTGATGCGGCAGTCACGCGATTTTAGCACACTGACTTGAAGTATTGATGTTACATATAAATATCACTAGTGCAAGGGCATAACCAAGTTAAATTTTCAAGTTTGGTACCGGTATATAAATATTTTCAACAAGCATTGTAGTGTCTAAAAAGTGCTGCGATCCTGTCTAAATTCTGCAATTTTATTGTTAAATTATACTTGTATGACCGAATGCTATATTTTTTGCTGGTCAGCGGCATGAAATATTGATATAATTAAATTGTTTTTAAGATTTCATCAGGATCGCAGCACTTTTCAGATACCTTATTAGTTCTTTAGTTGAAATGTAAAAGCTTACTTTGATCCATAGAGTGTATGCCCTTGCACTAGATCGATTTATTAACACCGCCTACATTACATTACCCTCCGATGAACTTGCATACAAATATACGGCAGTGTCAATTAAATACGTTATGTACAGAAAATATATTAATTAAATAGCGAAGAAGACATTAAATTCAAGTTATTGTTCCATAGAATATCTGTAAATAATATTTTATTTAAATAGAGAATACATATTTTGTTGAGAAAATATTACTTGATCTGTCTCTCACTGCAAACTACGTCAAGTAAAAAATGACGTCATATTGACAAGTGTATTGCGATCAGTGACTTGTTTATAACTTGTTATGTGGGATTTAACTAACGACAAAACAACAGGCTGTAGTAAGTTTTTATGTAGTTTGATGATTTTTTACTGGTTAAATTAGCAGATAAACTCATTTTGTGGTATTTTAAAGAAATGTTGTATGACGTATATTGTGTATGATGTCATACTCAAGTTTTCCCGTACAAATTAGGCTCCGCCTCCTTTTTGTAACCTTAACTGTGCTGCGTGGCCCTTAAAATTAAGGATCTAGAGAGGCCAAACGTTTTTTCCTGATATCTTTAAAAGTATTGATAATTTGTAATACATTAAAGAAACAAAATTGTTCTAAATGTCAAGCTTATCTATTGGGGTCGTCAAGAAACGTCCCGTGAGGTAACTTCTAGTCAACAGGAAGTAGTCAAAAATGCATATTTTTGCCATTCTTGACAAGTTTGTTAATAACATCTGTCTCTCAGAGCATAAAAAATAAGTTTCCGTCCGTCGTCGTCACTTCCGGTTAAACCGGAAGTAGCAAAAATTTGTAAATTTTTGCATTAATTAAAATAGCTTTAGAGATTCAAACCATTTTTAGGCATTATTTTCATTTTTGTTAAAAAGGAAAGCTACTTCCGGTCAAACAGGATGGAAGACCACTCGTTGCTTTGCAACGAGCTTTGCTCTAGTTATTATTCTTTTTTCTTCTTACCGATTTTGTTCACGCGATTTCTCAAGAACAGCTCGATGGATTTTCATGAAACTTTCAAGACTTATGTAACATAACTTGAACCTTATGCATTTTTTTTCATTTCATGACGTCACTTTTGGTTTGGAGATATTGTTGATTTAATGATTTTTGAAGGGTCAGGTTGTCTCCAGACTTTTTCAACAATGGCTCAAGATAGAAACATGAAACTTTCAGGTATGATAGACCAATGTCTTTATATATGTATAATGTTTTCCGTTTGTTTTTTTTTTTGGAAGTGCCGCACGTCGGCGTCACTTTGGCCCGAAAAAGTCCTCACGCGAATTTCAAACTTTTTAACACCTTTTCTCAGATCTTTTTACCTAGAAATATTTTGTTTAAACATATATAACAAAAGAAGTGTAGAAATCCAGGATCTTTCAAATAATATCTTCTAAATAGGACTTGCCCTTGAATTCAAGAGCCTAAAGGGGCCAAAATTTTTTTGTTATATCTCAAAAAGTATTGAGAATTTTTAATACGTCAAAGAAGCAAAGTTGTTCAAAATATCAAGCTTATTCTACTGGAGTCGTAAAAAACGTCACTTTCTGCCAAACAAGAAGCAGTGGGAAAACACGTATTTTTGCAATTCTTGAGAAGTTTTTGAGTATCATATCTCTGGGAGTACAAAAATAATTTTCCATTCGTCGTCGTAACTTCCAGTCAAACCGGAAGTAGCAAAAATGGCTTATTTTTGGATTAATTAACATAGCTCCAGAGGATTCAAACCATTTTTGGGCCATATTTCTCTTATTTGTTAAAAAGGAAAACTACTCCTGGTCAAACAGGACGGAAGACCTACTCGTTTCTTTGCAACGAACTTTGCTCTAGTTATTATTGTTTCGATTTCTATGAAACTTTCAGGACTAAAAAGGCATTACTTATACATGATTCATGTTTTTTTCGTTTCGATGACGTCACTTCCGGTTTGGAGTTTTCTGCGATTTAGTGATTTCTAGAGGGTCACTTTCTCC